TAGTAAAAATTTAGCGAAACTAAAGGTTTTACCATTTTGCCAAATCCAAAATGAGTTTAGACAAGCAACCTTATTCGCGATGAAGTTAATACTTTTCTCAGAGAAGATAATGGTTTGTCTTATCTTAAAATAGCTTATGAGGAAGTCTTATTTCTGGTAGTTTTTGCTGGAAAGAAAATATACTATATATTCCACATGAAAGCAAGCCAAACTTTAATAAAGAGCTTTTCATCCGGGGAGTTGAGATTGTAAAACAAAGGAAGTCAAGCCTTTTCCGCAAAGTAGGAAGGCATATTATGAATGAATCTATGAAGGTGGATAATTCACGTACCTTACATCAAATCATAGAGGATGTTCTTAAGGAAACTGTAAAGGATATTTCTCGGACAGATCTTAATGAAATAATTGAAACTGCTGTGTAGAAGCCCGATAAAGATAATAAGAGTGTACAGCGCTTTATTTCATGAATGCAAGATAGACATACCCATGAAGAAGCAGATGCCAAACTGCTCATTAAAAAGGGCCTAACACCTGAGCCTTATCTTTATCAAATTCCAGAACCAGCGCTTTGAATATGTTGTAGTTAAGAATAATTCATCGGAAAGAATGGGGACAAAATGGAGTACCCAGAAGTAGCAAGACGACTTAGTAAAAAAATCGATATTAGCTATTATCTGAATAGTGTTGTCGGCTTCTGTGCACGATTTATTAACTATGATGAAAGTTTCCAACTATCATATGAAATTGTACTGGGGCCTTAAAAAAGTTAAAAGATGGTAATAAAACCCGTAGCAGTAACAATAAAGTGGATGACAGTGTGGTGAATGAAGATGACCTGAACGAAGAGGAAGAGGATGAAAATAAAATGGATGAAGATGAAATATCAAAAATAAGAGATGCCTTAGCGCAGAAATCGGCTGAAAAGTGGGTTAGAGGATATATCAAAGAACTACATACTGGTCCAAAAAAGGTCATACCATTATATCTAATCTATGGAAAGGAGCCCGTATTTACGCGAAAAAAATATTTGATACTGCTTATGCTGACAAGGAAGAATGCCTAACTAACAATACTTATTACCAATCCTTCCTCAATGCACTAGATAAGTAAGAAGAATCCATCTGCTTAAAACTTTCATCATTGCTTAAAGAAATTTCTGAGGTTGATATAAAGTATAGAGACAGTATGTATAAATTAGTTACTAAGAAGCGAGCAATGTCTTTAGAACAATATTTAACATCATATTATTTGGATGAGTGGGTCCCAAAAGGACCATGTAAGCTACTAGCAGATTTCCGAAAAACATGATACAAAGTGATTAGCCTAGAAATCACACGCTACTGAATATTATTGAAATTACAGGATAATAAAAAAGATGATTCATCCAAAGCGGATATAGACAATATCATTGAACTATATTGCTAAGTATTCTTAGTGGAATGTGGCAATTTCAGCTAAGAAAACTTGGTCTCAAAGAGACAGTAATATTATTTATGACTGCATATTTTTTCTCGTGCAATAATACCAGCTAACTTCAATTCCTATCTTTGAACTTTCGACCTATGACAACTTCTGGCCTCCGATCATACAGCCCGGCCTCAGAAATACCTGGAGATAATTTGGGATGATCATTAGTATTTTCACAAATCTACATATTTTAAAGGTAAGCTTTATTGGTATAATGGCTGAACTACGTGATCAGGTTTCCCAGTACATAGGTTTTGAACCTAACAAAATTCGTCTTCCAATCACAGAAGAGGATAGACAGGTATTTTGTAAAATAATAACAGAACAGGAAGGAATGACAGATATTGTAATAGATGACTATCGATTTTTACAACAACATGGGCATAATGGTAAGGGAAGTGAATCCATTCATATTGGATGGTTATTAGCATGTATGATAGCCCACGCTGAAAAGATCTTAATAAATCCACCCAAAGATTTATCAGAAAAGGTATTAGCTCACATCGAAAAAAGATTCAAAGAAGTCCTACTTGCGCCAGTACTTATATGGTATTAGTTAGCAAAACTAACGGCCTATTAATATATTTTTCATGTGTGAAATAACGGTCATTTTTTAAATTCATACCTCACTTATTCCATATCCTTCTCCCGATCATGAACCATATAATTGTAAGAATTAGTAAGGTGAGTATAATATATATTAACATTGGTGACATTAAGGAGCTCACAATAATAGGAGCAGTTGCTGGTAAAGATACTGCTTCTGCGCCACCTAATTGCTTCGCAACCACTTCACTCGAAATATACTTTTCAGAATGTGTTGGTCGACTATGAACTGATTGATTGGCTAGGGTATCTGTCTGGCTTCTCGAAACTATCTCATCTGAAGGTAATAGCTCTTGCAAAGCTTCTAATATATTTTCCCTAGCAAAACTTTTATTGAATTCTATAACTTTATTTTTAAGACCGAGCTCATAGACGAGAGGTCTTAAATCATTACTGAGCCAACCTGGTAGCTTTTGCGTTGAATCGTTCATAGGCGAAGGTAGGAGAATAGAAAGCTCTGCTATTTCATTATCTTTTTTTAAGATTATCTCTCGAAGATGAGAATTTTTTCCATTGAATTTAATCGCACTGAAGACAAAGCATTTATTTCCTATTTAAATATGTTATTTGATGACTCTATCTCTTTTTCCATACATTCCAATTCGTATTTTTTGAAGACAAATCATCCCTCGCCTGTTTCAATTCAAGTCTGAGGGAATCCATCTCAGATAAGTTCATTTGAGCTAAGGAAGAATTCTTCTCCAATGCTTTCAACTTGGATTGGAGGGCTTTTATCTCTTTTGATTTTGTAGCGAGTTTGTCCTTAGAATCTGCAAGAGAAATATCTTTGCGAGTAATCTGAAAATTTAAAGAATCCATCTCTGATCGTAGTTGTGACATTTCATCTATAAGCTGATGGATGTGGTCAGAGAGTTTCCTATTATTGGTTTTGGTTTGTTCTAGATTACGGTGTAATTTGGCTTTGTCTCGATCATTTCTTTTACTATAGCTTGAATACACCCCCTGCATGTCATTATATTCATTGGTAAGCTCAGAAATGGATTTGATACTATTGCGCAACATCTTCTCAAGTTCTGTTTCACAAGCACTACCCAGGCGATGGCCTGAACTAATATCTTTCAGGTTATGCGCATTTCTCATATTTTACGCCCAGTTATGAAACAATAAAAAAAAAAGATAAGCGTAATTAAAAATTCATCCTTTGTTTCTTCCTATGACTATTTTGGTTAAGACTCTCGATTGAAATTTTAGTCATGGGGATTGAGGATAGTGGTTTTTATCAATATGAAATAATAAATATCATTTTCCATCATTTTTATTGTTTTTAATGTTATAAATACGATAAATATCATTTTACGTCGTTCTGTAACGCTTTATATCATTTTATATCATTTTCTATCATTTAAAAATAATAAAT